CCACAACCACAATGCTTTCATCAAGCAGGAAATATATCATAAAATTATTAAAACATGAGCTTTATTCTATATTAAGAAAAAGTGAGAAAAAAACCTATTAATAGAAGAAAACGAAAATATTGGGTCAGTCCAATATTTACTATTGAATGACGGTTAGCATAAGGAGCAAGCAATAATATCGTTAATGAACTGGAGCAACAAGATCGTGAATTCGTGAATCGTGAAAGATATTCACTGTCTTCTTTTTTATTTCAGATCAAGCTTCTTCTTCTTTGAGTTTAAATGACTCAGGTTCTCGTTGACGAGGTAAACGCAGCTAGTCGTACAAGGCACAATCGAAACCGGCAACGCTTTCCAAAAAACGATGCAACACTCGACGCAATCTTGCGATTCTACGCATATCACATCTCGAGGGCTGCCATATGACACTATTTCTTTAGATCAAGCGATTTTAAATTCGGCGCGTATTACGCTACAATAATGGATTCGGCGGAACGGCGGCATATCGAAAATAGCGGAACGTCCGCGATTGGTCAGATTTTTGATACGCGCGATCCGCGATATGCACGATACGCTCCATGGGACTGCACCCTAAAATCTCGCTGTCTAAAATTACAGTCAAGTATTCCCCTCTCATTCGACGATAAGAAGAGAATACTTGAAGATGATTGGTCAGTTTTTACAGATTACGGCATACGGTTAGGCCGGAATCAGACTACGCATTGAAGATTGAGATCGAAGATTGAAGATTGAAATTTGACCAATGAGGGTAAAGGAATTTTAGGTCCTATTGTTTTGATTGGTCAAATTTCAATCTTCAATCTTCGATCTCAATTTTCAATGCGTAGTCTGATTTCGTCCTTATTCTGCGCAACCCCTAAAGCTGGAAACACAAGACTGCGTTCAGGAATTACGCCTAGATAAATCTAGGGCGCATTTTTGCTATAGTATACGTAATGCAACCTATAGCTTAAGGTAAATTTTCACGAGCTGCTCAAAATGAACGCTTGATATTCATCAATTTTGGCCACTAGGGGATCGATTCTGTATCTTGAAACGAGGTGAAAATTACAAAAGTGAGCAAATTTACTAGAATACTGATAATTTTATTGGTCAACACCTAGTAAATTTGCTCACTTTTGTCATTTTCACCTTGTTTGAAGATACAGAATTGACCCCATGATCCTTTTTGTCGCTGAAACAGCCTGTTTAAGCAACTCGTGAAAATTTACCTTTATGCCGGCTGCAGACTAACGCGATGTTCGTCGCGTGCGACACGCGATATCCAATGAACATATAGCTTTAGAATGAGAACATCGGTAAAGCTGTACGCTCATTGGATATCGCGTGTCGTGCGCGACAAACGCACTGGCAGCCAGCATTAGGATGTGTTCACACCTTGACGGAAAAGCAGAAAGCGGAAAAGCAACAGCCAATCAGAACTCGCGCTGGTATTCGACAATTTCGGCTTTTTGTATTATTTATTACCAGCGCGAGTTGTGATTGGCCACTTCTTTTCCGCTTTCTGCTTTTCCGTCAAGGTGTGAACGCGCCTTTAGAATTATCTAGACGTAATTCCTAAACGCAGCCCAATGAGTACAGACAATAGACACAGGCAACAGGGAATAATGAGCCGTCCAATCAGAGCTCTGAGGTATAATATCGAACTTATACTCCAAAGCTCTGATTGGACGGTTCGTTATTCCCTGTTGCCTTTAATGCTTTCGTTCATACTAATACGGCAAGTTAGTATGAACGAAAGCATTGAAATCCTATAGTTGAATTTTACCGGCACCGGCATAAGTTAACGGTTACGGAGATTATAAATTAGGCTGTGGTCATAATATGGCTGCTTGACTTAGGAGGGGATACCCAATCAGAATACATATCAGACTGCCAATCAAAAACTCGGACATCAATGGCGGGTCTCTTTATATATAAGCTCTACATACCAGAGAGAAACCTGAGAGTGGACATTCCGGCCTTTTTCGTGTATCAAATCTCGTAGGATAATGTCCACGTTTTTGTAGTTCTTTTCCATACTATTTAGAGTCGCGACACGAGAAGCGCAGTGACTCAGACACTCCAGTTAGAGACCGTTACAGATTTCTCTTTCTCTACTGGGTCTCTAGTTTTATCAAAATCACACTAGAGAGAAACATATATGGTATCTCTCTCTTTCTCTAACATTGGGCGCGTTCAAGTAGACAAAGCGGCTAGCCTGCTCGCCAAGCAAATGAACATAATTAGTTATTACTTATAGATCCAACCAATCATATTCAATCGCTCGGTAAGCATGCCTAGCCGCTTTGCTGTCTTGAACTCGCCCATTCACACGTATCTAATCTAAACTTAAATTTTAATTCGTAGGAATGAAACATTGTGAAACATGTGTTAAATGAATCTAAAACTTATTAAAAAATTGTTGGCTGTGCAGCCCTCTTTTGTAATAATTCAACAGCCAAAGGCTATACAATGAAAATATTTTCCAGAGATAGTGAACTGTCGTGCTTTATGGGCAAAAATGTTGCGAGAATAAATTGGACGTCAAAAAACGGTTCGTTTCTCTGCAAGGTTAAGTAACATTTGTGTTTTTCGACATATAGTATAAGAAATTTTATTAATTCCTTATAAATTCGTTGTATTGTTTAAATTAAAGAATGATACAAATATAAGTATTTGAATATAGGCGGAAATTGATAAAAAATGGCGGACCAATCAAAAGCGGTTGTTTTTATGTCGCGACTCTGATTAAAGAGTCTCTAGATCGGTTGATTAAGTATCAACTGTGATTGATCAATTTTGCTTAACAACAAATGCGATTGGTCTAATAGAATAATCGACCGATTAAGTTAATCACAAATGAAAAATCGGTTTTATATTAATCGTTTAAACAGTTAATAATAACTGAGAGTTTTTAAATCTTTATATTTGATTAAAAAGTAATCTCAGCACACTCAGCAGTTTCAATTTATATATATATATATATATAAATTAATCATCTTATAGATACGATATAAATTAAAATATCTTAATCTTAAGTATTCAATTGATATTCGATTTAAAAATTAATATATGTGAACGATTTTAGAGATGGCGACTCAACTAATACAAAAGCATTGATGTTTTCGTAAATTTAACAAGGCTTTATAAGTCGGAAGAATCTGTTACAAATAATCCGTGCGGTTATTATACTCAGAATCGCGGGTTCAAAAACCGGCCTCAATGGTATGCGCCATGCCATACTACGCCACGCCATACCACGCGGTTGATTTACGTTTCCCGCTTCCCAGTCATGGTCGCCCCTGGCGAGCGGCCATCTTGAGCGTACGGAGACTGCGCACTAGCGCGCCACCGTAATTTACGACTCTCTGACGCACACGAGCTTCTCTCGTTTGATCTCTTTTCAGCGGCAGGTTTTCGTGAGGTACGTCATCGCGATCCGTGAGTTGCCGTGAGTATCCGCGGGCCTTTCCTCGACTCGACGTGTCGCTCGGCGACGGCGAGAAACGTGACCGGGAACGTCGCGTGCGCAAAAGGAACAGCACGACCGCCACGGAGGGAGAGAGAGATAGTGGGCGGAGTTTACGTCTGTGTGTGGTGTGAAGTTGGCGACGGAGACGCGCGTTTGTTTCGGAGTCGAGAACGACGCGTTTCTCGAACGTTTTTCGAGAGATCGCTGTTCCTAAAGAACGTCGGCGTGGAGGAGGTTATGAGAGCGCGAGTATACAGGCTCCATGAGGTCGGGCAGTCGTAAATAAGGTGGATGCGCACACGGATAACGACGGATCATCACGAGCGAGCGCGAGGAAGGAAGAGGGACCGTGACGCGGCGGCCGGTGCGGGAGGCAAATGCATGGGACGCTCTGATTGGCCGCGGCGGCTGCTATGGCCGCCGATTGGCGTACCGCACGCATATACCCGAGGGCACAGCACGGACGCGCACCTACACCCGCGAGCCGCGTAGCAGTCGCTCGAGCGACCGAGGACAGTGAGAAGAGCGACGGAAACGGTCGGTCCGTGCGCGTCGTCGTCGCCGTCGTCGCCGCCGTCGCAGTTTCCTTCTGAGGTGGAAAGCTTCGTGTGCGACGTTCGTGGCGCGGATGGCTCGGAGACCGACGCCGATCTTCAGCCATAGCAAGTAAGAGCCGTAGAACCTCACCGAACATCACTAGAGGGAGGGAGGGGGAGAGAGAGAGAGAGAGAGAGAGAGAGAGAGAAAGATATTATATATATACATATATATATATAGATATATACATAGTGTGCTGACTCGAGGGAAGGAGTGCGGTCCGGGCGCGACGCCGACCGTCTCGACATAACCGCGTATACGTAAAATCCGACAATCCGTCAATGTTAGAGTCGCCGGAGAAGAGACCCTATTCTCTACTTGCCCTATATTGTGTATACCAGATTTTAAAATACGATAATTAGAAGTGCATCGTCGGAGCGGAGTAGCACTGAGAGAGAGCCGAAGGAGGATAGAAGTGCATCGCCGAAGCGGGAAGGTAAGCGTGCTGCGGTGCGGGAGCGAGCGAGAGCGGCGAAGGGAGAAGGAGATAGGAACGGGACGAAACGGAGCGGAGTTAAAAGCGCCGTACGACACGCAGAAGGACAAAGACCGCGGCGTTGGCATAACCTCCAAGTCGTTCTTCGCGCCGCGCGTTTCGGGGATCGTTGCGCGAGTCAACGGTGCGTCCAAGTCACCAAGTATTCGTCACTACGGGGATAAAGAAAGGGAGAGAATATATTTTTGCAAGTGTGCAACGCGCGTCTTCTACTAGAGCGACGATTGAGAGAGAAAGCACGTGCATCATCAACATCCGGCCAGCGGCAACGTCCGACAAGTTAGAAGGTTGGATCTGTTCAAGTTTATTACGCGTTCTTTCGCGACACCTGGTATACGAGTATAACGCGTAGGTAGGTCCGTTACGTGCGTGTAGTGCGACACGAGTGCGCGCTCCGTCGGTCCGTTTGGCCGCCACGACGTAGCGAGTATAAATAACAAACAAAAAAAATAAATAAAGAGGTGGCCCAAGGCGACACACGCCACGCGTGCACGCATACACACGTCCGCGCGTACGTCGCATCGCGAGGCACGCGAACCGGGAGTGAAGTAGCGCGAGCATCCGGTTGATGGATGAGACTGGCAGGATGCTGCAACACGGAGGATCAGGTGTGGGTCTGATGGGTGGAAACCAGGGTCAGGCGGCCCAGAACACCGCCGGCTACGGCAGCATGGGCCCGGTCGACGGCACCGCGGCTCAGGGCCCCGATCAAGCGGTCGAGGCCAGGAAACAGGACATCGGCGAGATCTTGCAGCAGATCATGAACATCACGGACCAGAGCCTGGACGAGGCGCAAGCGAGGTATTGCCTCATGTCCTTTTTCCTTCGCTCCGCCATTTTTTTATCTTCTTGCGCGCGGGATGTGTCCTTTGATCTTGTCCACGTTGAATATCTTGAATACCTACCGTCGAATACCGTTTCTTCTTTTCAAATGTCTATTCATCCTTCAATGCTTTTGTTCACTTCCGGCACTTGCAAACCGTCACATATTTGGATTTCTAAAACTTTACTTTCTTAAACTTTTAGAGTGATTCTCGCTCTGAAAACTGAAATTTCGCTCTTAAAGATTGAAAAAATGGAGCCACTCTTTAAATTTCTTATATATATTTATTTATTTAATGTTTACATTATCGTTTATATTTTATAGTTAAAATAAGTAGTGTCGTATTCTTAATTGCCACGACTACTTTGGCGCTAAAGTGTCCGTAAGGTCTATCAGCGTTATGTCGGAGCAGAAAATTATGTTTACGGCTCGTTAATAGCGGAAGTAAAGGTTTAATGGTACTTTCGATTTACGAGGTCGATTCGTTACTCGGGAGGAGGAGTACCGTGTAAACGAAATTCTCATAAAAGTGAGACGATGCCCGCGTATAAAATACGGTGCACGCGGTTTTATTTCGGGTCCCCGGGTTACGGCGGTTCACGGAAACGCATTAAATCGTATAGATTACAAAATGTACCTATGTATACTGCTCGTCGGTTCTCGCAACGTCACGCAAGAAGTACATCTCATCCGTTCTTCTTATCTCATATATCAATTTAAAAAGAACACGCGGGGCATTTTGCACAATCTTTGCAGTTAATTATACGGTATTATAAAACGTGCAATGTGCTTATTAATAACGACGAGTGATAATAGTGCTTCTATTGTGTAACTGCGGGTCTCGATGTATACTTAGTTAATTATGCGCGTGTTATTCATTAGCGCATTAATCAGCCTGATTTATCTTACGGAATATATCCCGATAAATATCCTCTCTATCTTTTTATGATAATTTGACGGATCTGCGAGGCATTTATCTAGATAAGATCTGTCGATCCGTGAAAAGATCGATGCCGTGTTTCTTTCTTTGCAATTTAGTGAGTAAACAAATGAAGAGAACACGTTTTACGTATAAAATAGAAACGTAGCACCCGGTAGTACTCCGAACTCCTTGCATTTAAACTGTCTCGTCTGTGCACACACGCGGCTAAGTGTGGCTGCCCGTTTCACCTGGCTTTGCTCATGTATGTTAAGTTATATTAAGTACCTGTCCGCGTGTTGGACGCCCGCTACAAAGAGCGCCAGATGTGCCTCCCACGAATACGTGCATTTTACTCGGAGTGCAGAGCGGGACACTTGTAATTTTCGCGACGTGCGTTAAACGTTAGCCATTTAAATATTGCGGTCCTCAATTAAGCGTACGGCCTTGAATTAAGTGAATTGCCTTTATTAGCACTGAGCCGCTAATTTCGGTGGCGATAGTTATAATTTCATGTAATTTGTATGCAGAGTGATGGTAGATTTGTCTTCCTTCGTCATACGATTTTTTTTCTCTCGACGAACTCGGGAGCAACTCTCTCTCTCTCTCTTCTGGTGCTTTTCAGCAAGAGATACTGTGTAATACAGTGATAATTTCATCTTTGTTTAACAGTGGCACACAAAAATGTCATGATTTATTATATAATCTGCATTGAGGAAAAAAGAATGTCTTGATACAAAAAAAAAATAAGCTATCAGAATTCATCAAATAAATCATTTTTTTGTATGAAGTAAAATATTTTGATACAAAAGATGTTATTCATTGAAAAAAGATTTCTTCTCTCAATAAGAAAAAATATATCTTGGTACAAAAAAATTTTACTTAACGCACAAAAAAGTTATTTATTTCGTGGCTCCTAATAGCTTATTTTTTGTATTAAGATGTTTTTTTTCTCTCAGTGTGTCTTTTATTGGAAAGCGTTCTATTTTTTCGAAGGATCAGTCCCGAATTTGTCGAAAAATTTTACTTAACGCAAAAAAGTTATTTATTTGATGGTTCCTAATAGCTTATTTTTTGTATTAAGATATTTTTTTCTCTCAGCGTGTGTCTTTTACTGGAAAGCGTTCTATTTTTTCGAAGAATCAGTCCCGAATTTGTCGAAAAACCCACGTCGTTCATCTTTTGTGTGACTTTAGGTCTATTCTTTATTGCAAAAATTTTTTTCTACCTCGCTTTCGCCAAACTTTAAATATATGTACATCTATTTCATTTTAAGTATACAAGCGTACACTAGTAGCCACAGATTTTTGTTAATAGCGACATCGAGATAATCTGTTTGCGATTTGCTTGCAGAAAACACACACTCAACTGCCACAGGATGAAGCCTGCCCTGTTTTCGGTGCTCTGCGAGATCAAGGAGAAGACAGGTGAGTGATCTTTTCTCTGCAACAACACGAGCATTTGCTCTTTTTGCCGCGCTCGACTCGCGCCGCTCGGATCATTAAACTTTACGTGCGAACGACTCGCCTATTTTGTACAGCGCTAACGGATGAATGGAATTTTTAAATGAATTACTTTCGGATGTGACAGACTCTCGTTTGCGACTCGTCTCGTCACCGAGACCGCGGATTTCAATGTATTTTTTTCTCTCGTATTAGGCTGGCAGTGCCGTGTATTTTTATACGTATGTATTTCACACGATGCAGAAATCGAACGTTACGAGAATGCATTATTATTTTTGCAGCGTCATTGATTATATCTATCCGCGAGCGAAGTTTCATTCCATTCGTCCGTGCGCGCGAGTTATTGTACGTCATAAATCATAGGTCTTATTTAAAGCACTGACTTTCGGCGCCTGGTTGTGTTTGGAATTGATTTTTAAATTGCGTTTTTAACTCTCAGAATCGATCGAAATCAGTACAGTTCCGAGACCACCTCGGTTTTACATACGAGAAGTATATAAGAGAGAACTACTTCCTACGTTCTCTTAATATAAAAAAAATAATGACAGTTCCAATAGCACTTTTTATAGTTTTACAGTTCCTAATAAAAATAAAAAAAGTTTCGCATTTTTTATAGTAAAAAACCAAAATTAGCATACCATGTGTATTCTCTTTTCGTTTTTTAATATAAAAAGTGTAGAATTCTTTTCATAAGAAGAACTGCAGAACTATGAGAAGAGAGTGCTACTGAAATTGTCATTATATTTTATTAAAAGAATATTGAGCTTCACAGATCCGATTCCTTGGGTCGTTGCGAAAGAAGCACAATAATGGGCGATAAGACTATATTTCAAGGTGTATCAACACTGAAAATCGAGCTCGCCGAGACCGCCAACTCGGAATTTAATCTCTGAACGTGAAAAGGATCGTAACTTCTTCATGAATAACGTTCGGGCCGTTGTGTCGCGGCTCGTAAGCGCGCAGTAGACCGAAATCGAAAAATTGCGAGAGATCCCTATCTGCGACAGTGCAACCCGCGTTGACGCTCTCCTCGACCACCCTTCGGTCGCGCGACCCCTGTGAGAGAACCATTTGAAACTCGTAAACATAATTTTTATGCGATGTTTGGATTACTTTTACGCGCGGATCAAGAGACCACGAAACGTGCAATTATTTCTAGGGGATACGATCGAGGAAGACTAAGAGAGAAAGAGGGAGAAATCGCGGAAGGGGGGGCGAGAGAGATCGATGTGGGGATGGAAGTTACGTCAAAAGTATTCGCCGTTGGGGGTGGAAGGACCACACCACACCACGCCCCTCATGCTAAGCTACCCTCTTTTCCGTCGCTTCTCCAGCAGTGTGTGTTGTGTGTGTATGTGTGTGTGTATATGCATTCATACACACACACACACACACACACACACACACACACACACAAGCGGAGGAGACACGAGGGTGTCGTGCAGCACGGACTGTGACGTCAACAACGACATCCCACGTTTCTATAACGTTATGATATTTCCAAATGGGCGTTGGGTACACCCGCGACGAAAGGATATCTTTTCCGCGATCGAGGGAGAACGAAATCGCTATTGATTGTTTTTCGGAGGAATTTGAATGTGGACGCAATCGTGCCTTTTACTAATGCATCTTCGAAAGCCTGTGCATTTTTGTAACCCTATGCTTTTTCATTACTTTTATCCCTTCCTCGTTATATTCTCGTTTGTCGTCATTCGGTTATACTGGGATTTTAAATTGTGCTTTACCTCGAACTCACGGAGATATTGACCTTTCTACTTCAGTTTTGTACAGTTAAATCATAGCAGAAAAATCTACGACATTTCACGATATTTTGTTAGGAAATTGTAGTATCTGTACAGATATTTTACACAGAAAGCTTCTTAAACTTCATTAATGTAATTATCATTATCTAAAGAGATGAATGTATAATATATACATTTTATTAAGATGCTACGACGTTCTCAGAATTATCTTTATAATTTTTTTGACTTTCTTATTGACATATTCTTTGAATATTTTATACATAAAAATACTTTTATAATATGCTCAATATAATGGGTGCTTTCCAGCAAGAGACACAGGCGACACCAACGTGTAACACAATGAATCATTATATCCTTGTTGTTTGCTAATGTTAAACAAAAATGATATGATCACTGCCTTATTCTGTGTTTATTGTTGGAAAGCAATATATACTGACAATATTTGAAAAATATGAGTTATATTTGAGATATTTAGAATTTTATTGTAGGTATATTCTACACATTCTAAAAAATATGGATTTATATTTAATACCGTACGATTTACATAATTCTCACTGTGTTGGTGTTGATATACATGTGGATTTTATCAGCATGTAAATTTACATTTAAATTTACTTACACCAACACAGTGAAAATTATATTTAATACCATAATGTAAAATTTACATCCACATTTTTTAGAGCGCATACTTTTATTCTTCCGTTTTTATTCCGTATAAAATATTTGAATAATAAATGAAAGTTTAAATAATAAATAAATACAATAAATAATCAATGTTTACATGGACCGCTTTGAAGAGCACTTCATTTTTCGATGCGAAAAAGAGATGAGAGGAAAGCAAAGAATAACAAAGAAAGTTTAATTCGAGTTTATCATAAACAAAAAGGGCGTCAAAGTATGATGAGCACTCGAGACGATGAACCGTTTTAACGGTCCTGTATCTTTTATGAGTTCCGGCCCGGCTGCGTGCAGTGCCACACGCGTGCGCGCGGAAAAATGTACCGAGAGCTTTCTCCTTCTCGCGTCACATGAGTGGAAAAGAGAGACGAGATAGTCATAGTCGAGTTTATGGACGATGGCTGACGAGGCAGTGAAAAAGTACTAAACCAAGAGGAGCAGATAAACGCTATGTTAAGCAGACCGTTTTACCAGCCATTTAATATAATCGGCTCTTGCGTTCGTTCTCTCGCGTGCGCCGCTCAGATAACTTCGGATCAAGACCGTAGTCAAGGTGGGACCGTTCTCCATCGTAGCTGGGGCCTTATCCCTTTGTTTGCCGCCGACGAACATCACGCTATTATATCTACGTATAACGTTGCGAATTTTTATTTTGCCAACAACCTTTACCCTTGTCGGCCTTTCAGCGAAGGAATCTGAATTACGCGCGAAATTGTGTGAGAACTAAAATTCTCCGCTATATAAAAAACTATGTGAAAGTCTACAGTATGCGCCAAAAAAAAAAAAAAAATTTCGACTCTCACAACTAACACTTCAGTTGTCGGTTTAGTTAAATAAAGTGAATGGATGGGGGCAAATTTGATTATAACACAAATATTTTGTCCTTCTACCAAATATTTATTCGATATGATTTCCTTTAATTGCAATCACTGCGTTACTGTGTCACACTCAGCAAACATAATAGTGACTAAAAGAGAGTCGCATTTTTTTTGGCGCATACTGTAAATGTGAATTACAATATTTGTTTCTTAAATCTCTGAATTAATTTCTATTGGATCGGAACAAAAGTTCGTAGCGCTATCCCATTTGTATTATTTCTACATGTAAAAAATTTGGCAATTATATCATTCGATGGAGTAAAGTTTCAATTTTAAGAATCCGTTTTTTTGAATTGCGATGATTTTCAACGGAGTTATGAGCAATTAAAGTCAAAATGCTCCTTTTATTTAATTCGCGATAATTCAGTAACAAAAAAATCTTAGGAACATTTTCGAAAAACGATTTTGTAGAGAAAATAATATTTGTTAGAAAGTAGAAAATTTTCGCAAGTTTTTTTTAGGTACGTGACAGGTTCAGTGAGAAGAAACTTACTCATTTGTTCAGCTCGTAGTTTTCTATGGAAAAGTTACCAAACTCACAAAAACTGTCAAAAGACATAGTGATCTTTCGAAAGTAGAGGTTTTAAGCTTTAAATCCTGTTAAAAAATTTAAATATCATTCATTTTTAACGAAGTTACAGCTGCTTAAATTTTGAAGTTCATAGAGCTACGAACTTTTGTTTCGACCTGTCACATTTCGTATTCGATAGAATAAATTTATTATACCGAAGACTTCTTTCTATTCATGAATTCACGACTATAAATCTTGATGAAATCGCAAAATTTATTTTTAACAGAAATAAATTAAGCGAAAAAAATAATTTACTCCGACGTATAGTGCAAATAAATCACATGACTTTTTCGCTTTTGATGCAATTTAATGCGCTTCCAATGAATCGGAGACTTTAATTTTATGTTGCTCTGAAATTCTATAGCTCGGTGCGATCACAAGCGGAGAATCGGGCGATCGCACTTAACACTAATTGTACGGTGTAATTACGAGACACGCAACCAGGTAACTCGTTCGATTCGCGTTAATGGACCGTCCTACTTCCTCGAATATCACGTGTATACCGATCGATCGGGCCCTAAGAGGCAGTCAACCTCTGACTACGATTTGTCACGGTCAAATTGGAAGAGGCGCTTTCCTTCTGTAACGTGCTGATCTCGAAGACCTGTTTCGGATGGAACACACCGCTCAGGACGATTTCCCGTGGGGCGCGCTTAGATCCCAAATACCGAAAGAAACGGGGAGACGAGGCTGGCTCGAAATCCGCGGGATTTCTCTACTCGCCTTTCAACCGTTGTCCCCCAATCCCCTTTTTTTCATCCTCTCCCGTGTGCGGACAGCTCTTCAGTCCGCATAGAGCAGCTGGCATAATCCTCCGCGTGGTGCACTGGAAAAAAAAAATCTCGAGGGTATCAGACTCAAAAATAGCGAGAGGACTAAAATCCGATCTGGTTGCGCGATAAATAGTCATCTTGGTAATTATCAGGCGCACGATTGCCGGACGATGAACTTTTCGGCGCACTCGGACGTCCGATAAAACGAAATTAATCCGCGGGCACACAAAACAGATAATTCGGCCGAATAATAATCCGCGTCGCTGCCATTAATCACGGATCGGCCGATATTGATTTCGCG